TTTAGTGTTCCCTTTATTTTTTTGAGCAGTGTATATCTTGTGTGGCCTGAGAACGCCTTGTGGTCCCCAGGAGGAGCCGGAGAGCATCTGTGGTGTTTTGCTTGATGAAAATGGATGGATAACATCACAAAAAATAAAAAAAATTAATTACAATAAAACAGTAGCATATGGGTTTAAATACATATATACATATACACACACGGGTGCATATACACACACACACACACACACACGGACATATATGTAGGCTATAATAACACTGAATATAGGCTACAGAAGAGTATAGGCTATATGTAACTGTAAGCTATCATTCATACATCAGTCCTATTTTAGATTTGTATATGAATAAGACAAGCTACCCAAACACGTTATGAATGAGTTGTAATCACAGATAGGCTATTGGAACCAATATTTCATGTTCCCCCATTACTGCGGGACCGAACGCGCGTTCTCGATGCTCGGGCACGCGCCTCGCTAGAAACTGAGGGAGTGACACACACACACACACAACCCTTGCGTCCGCCCCCTTTCCCCGTGTTGCATTCTGGGAAATCGTGTTTACTATCGTTTAAGAAAGATGGCAGCCGTACAGCCGCCACCCCTCCGGAGCCTGGAGGATTTTCTCCTGAGCTCGGCCCGGTTCGCGGTGCCCGACGTGCGCGATCTGGACCGCTGGAACAACCGCATCATCAACAACCTGCTGTACTACCAGAGCAATTATCTCCTGTCCGCTGTGGGTATCCTGCTCATAGTGGGGTAAGTTTCATTATTCTGACGTGGTCACTCTCTCTCTCTCTCTCTCTCTCTCTCTCTCTCTCTCTCTCTCTCTCAGTAACGAACATACTGGAAGTCAGGAGTAATCACTGGGAACTCAGGATGTGATTTTTTTCCAACAGCAGCAAGAATGAGCCGTGTGCCCCGGCGTCGTGTGCACACAGACACATTACAGAGCAGACTTCACCTTATTGGATGTAAAAATCGATGCTTTATAAGCCTATAGAGCCCTCAGAAATTCCCATACCGAAACAAAAACTGGTGTTCATTGAATGCACAACACTGTCTGCTAATGATTTCACCATACAATACATCACATTTCATATAGATGCAAAAGACAGTCCTGTGACACAGCTTATGTTTCACACGCTCCTCTATAGACAGTGGTGGAAGAAGTAGGCTGTTCAGATGTTTGACTTGAGTAAAGGTAGTAATGATGGAAAACAACCAATCAGAGGTGAGGAGTCCCTTAAGCAGCTGTCAGTCATGGCAATTGCTCCATGAGCTGTGGTCAGTCTGTCAAACTGGTAACTTTCTGATACCGCATTACCTATTTCTCACCTCAGGTATTTTCACAAACATTTTAGTGTACTGTTAAGCTTTAAAGGGCCAGTGTGTAATATTTGGAATGGTTTATTGTCAAATCTGAATCTGAATATTCTACCCATTAATATGTTTATGTAAGTGTATAATAGCTATAAAATA